AAATGAGAATGAGTTCTCTGTCGACTCTTCTGGATAAATAAAGTTTAAATAAATAAAGTGGTTGAGGCTGCTGGGTAGTGGAGTCCCGGGCATTGCATCTCCGGTTGGAGGAGCGGGGGTGACTGTGACAGAATCTTTATCTTCATTGAAGCAATGCATAAAAAACATTGCACAATGAAATTTGGTGCATTTTCCAGTGTGAGAATAAAAACACAATCACATAGGTTTAAAAGAGGCTATAAAATATAAATGCAGACAAAATTAAAACCCATGCTCAAAACACTGTCCCTCAATCATCCATAGCACTTCCCCTTAGATGGCATTGGGACATGACTAATGTAACAACACTGAACGGACCATTTAACAACACTGAACGGACCATTTAGCTGTATTCAACACAGTGATGGTTGAAAGATAAAAACTGTTTTTCAATCTATTAGTTCTTGTCTTAATACATCTGAACTGTCTACCAGAGAGCAGACATTCAAACAGTCCATGTCCCCGGAGGGGAGAGGACAGCCGATTATCTTCTTTGCAACATTAATGACCCTTTGGAGTTCCTTTTTCTGTGCACCTGGAAAACCATGCTTAACCGTGAAGTGGTAGAAGAACACAAGCAGTTTCTCGGATATGTTGATCTTCCTGAGAACCCTCGGGAAATGGTTGCCTTGGGCCGTAGTGTGTGTTCCCCAGGTCAGGTGTTGTTGATGAGATCTCCACTGACATCATTGTTTATTGTTTATTGCTCATTGTAATTATATGGGGAATCTGCATCAAGGCAAAGGGAAGCAACAACCTGGTGGTTTCTGATATTTGTAGGGATTTTTCTTGGTCAGATACTCTTTATATGTACTCTGTCTTAGAGAACTGCATACAGTTAGAAATCTGAGACAGGCGCCGTGTTCGAGTTGAGCAGCGCCTCGCCTGGAAAACAGAGAGCAGACGGAAGCAGCAGGGGGAGTGGCTGAAAGCCGGCGTTTAAGTCGGACACAATTTCCTACATGTGTAGCTCACGGGTGACGATGGATGAAGATATCGCATTAGAGTCGGTTAGAGTTCATCCTTGTTTAATTATTTATTTTAATTCCGGTGCCTGTTAGCAGATGAAACACATCCTCATGTGCTTGTGGATATCATATATTGTATATGAAGACATGACTGTAATAATAAGTAAAGGTTATCAGCTGTAGGTTTAGTGTGCTCATAGGAAACGTGACAAAAGAACACAAAACACATTTCTCTTTATGGTCTATATAGTGGTCATCAACGTAACATGATTTACAGAATACATGTGACCAACTAGCATTTCATGTTCTACCACCGGATGTTTGGATCAAAATGTGAACCAATCAGATCTTAGATCAGGTGAGAGCCAGGCGTTTCCCGTCATCCCCTAGGTTTTGCAGCCGGTGGAGAGCAGCTGTAGTGCCTTGCTCCAAAATCTGTGGCCGCCTTGATCTCACGAGGTTATCGTTGCCTACGTATGCATGACGTCAGAGCAAGTCGGCGTCAAGTCGGACACAAATCTAACCGGCATGCACTGCTTGCCGATCACCGCTGGTCTAATCTGCGCAGAACTGGCTCATCTCGAACACAGCCAACATGAGGTGACCATTTCAGTAAAGTAGCATAAATCTGTTATAAATTTCTTTTAGAATTTCTTCTTTTATCATTCCCTTTATAATAAGTTAAGTTTGCAATTTAAATTTGTTAATTTTTTTATTTTTTGGTAAATTGAGGTAGTTGTGAACTTTTTGGACACGCCTTAGTCATTAAGCTGATAGTAGCACATGGGGAGGCGTGTGGAAAAGGTTTGTTTGCCAAGTCTCAGGGGAGATGGGAGGATTTGGTAAAATGATTTTTTGACCATTTTTTAGACCTGATAATTTAATTTAAGGTTAATTTTCGTTTGATCAAAAGTAGAACATTTTGAATGAATTTGAACCTTTTTTTTTTTGGAAGAATAAACCATTTATAAAATTTGCAAGAAATCAAGTCTAAAAGTGCGTGCTTAAATGAAATCACCCGTTCTCACCAACGGCCTTTAGTTGGAAATCATTTTTTGGAAGTTTAAAGGCCGTGACACAACAGAAGGGTTCTGTTTTGCTTGTTAAAAGTAAACACTTTCATCTACCCGCCAATCAGCGGCTCTGTCGGTGGGCACAAGGCCGGATTAACCATATGGGCAAGTGGGCAATTGCCCAGGGCCCACGATCTCTAAAGGGCCCAGGGCAGCAAGGGCACGAGCAAAATACTGTAGGCCTATCTGTAATTTCCTGCTTTATATTAAACTAGGGTGACTGGACGTCCGGTTTTCCCCGGACATGTCCACTTTTCCCTCTGTCCAGGCGTCCGGACTGGGGGTTCTTGTATTGATGAAAATGTCTGGCTTTTCATCCAGGAGCAGGGATCGAATTATGGGGGAGTTAGATATCCTACACATCCAGGGGAGCCGGAAAACAGTTTTCTACTGACATTACATCATTTATGGACTCTTCTGAGCAGAGAGCGGCACAGCGCGTTGTTGCGCAGCGCTCCAGGCAGCTGCTTCCAGCGCATGGTCCATTCTCAAAGTGGCGCAACCAAAAAAACTATAATTAGCACACGTCCGCATATGTTCTCTATTTTCTGTCTTATTTGCGCCTGAAGCGCTCTGCCACTGCGGAGCTCATCACCTGTGCTGAGGTGATTTCACCTCACTGACGCAGCATCGAAAACGCGCTCTCCGCTTTGCTGTCAGGAGATCCCTTTGATCTGCTCAAAAGTAACTGATGAGGTGAAAAAGTAAGAATCCAGGCAGCAGTTTTTCTGGAGAGTTTAGAGGAGATGCAGGAAGATGAGAGACAGACAGGACAGGAAATAGTTAAATAAAAACAAGAAAACAAAACTAAGTGTTGAAAAGTAAAATGTGTGTAGATTTATCTCCAACTACACATTTTTACCAGTATAAAACAATAAGTGATACACATGTCATATTTATACACCTGATACAATTCAGATCACCTTCAAAACTCTGTCACACACCCAGGGCCGTTTCAAGACATTTTGGGGGCCAAGGCAAAATGACCCCACCCCCCATTAATGGGCTCCCCAGAAGCCTCTGTGTAATCCATACCCTCTCCAGGAGTATTAGTTATACAGTGTTTATAAAAGCTCCTCAGACATCGCTGACATGTTCTAATATTATCAGATGAAAAACTAAATTATCAGACATGCTGTCTCATCTGTTGCTTTTCTAAACTTACAAAAAGTAACAAAACTATTTGAAAGCCACTATTTGTGGATTCTCTGGAAGTTTCCATGGAGTGTGTGACAACTTATTTTTTCATTGATCCTATCGTCTAATCTCACAGCTGAAACAAGCATCCTTAATAATCTGTGCACAGGAAGCGTACCGATGCTGTAGTAAAACAAAAGGTAAAATAATTCATTATTAATAAAACCTTGTTGCAGCACTAAAGCAGTAAAATGAGAATTTGCATTAAATATGCTAAATATTTACATATGAATTGTTTTGGAGCCCTTTTATTGGCAGAATCTGATATTAATTTAGTTCTTACAAAAAAAATGGGTCCCAACGTGGTTTGTGTGGCGTTGCCATAGAGTGACGTCATAGGCACAGATCCCCTGTCCTCTTTTTTGGAAATGGAAATGTGGTCACCCTATATTAAACAAACTGTCCACCCAGGCTTTTGCGCTGCACAGAGGCGCTTCGCTGTCTATGACTTTGAACGTCAGTTGAGAGTCAGTCTCGCCCACTTCCATGTTCTTGAGAAGGCAATATAAACACAACCAGGCCATGCGGGGATGGGATGTTCCGCACCGGGCCGGGCCGAGCTGACCGTAGTGTGAAAGGGCCACACGAGGCTCCTGCAGTATGTTCGGGTCAGTGTTGCTAAATTATTGCAAAAGAAATGTAGCTTAAATGCTAGATAGCATAATTCATCCCCCAGCTGTTGATGTATTCCAGCTTTGTGCCGACTTGCTCACTTTCTGAGCTCATTGCTCACATTACAGTGATGACTCAAGGTCAACATAGCTTGGGTTTTTTTTCATGTGATCTCCAGCCTTCTGAAGTCCCTTCCAAGCACATCTGAGCATGTCCAAACAGCCCAGTGCTGACTCACACTTCTCTCCCTGCAGCTGACTTAGCAGAGAGGAGCTACAAAGTATTTACTGCAGCACTACGGAGACCTCACTCTGACTGCACGGTACACGCTCGTCCTAAACAGGGTTAGATCCCTCTCTGGTTCCTCTTGGAGCATAAACAGTACGTGATGTAACTGAACAGCTGATAAACCCGGCAACAACTCAGCCAAACTGGTTAAACCATGTTACTGTATTATTTAGAAGTTATAAATACTGGTTTCTTCAGTGTATCAAATCCATGAATATTGTCTGAAAACTATGTGCACAAAGTTGCACACATGTCCATAACGATCGCACTCGGGGAGGAAACGGCAACAAGACTATACCACTGACTTACAAAGTTGATGTTTTATCTCCACACATAACACAAGCCTGGAGGAGCTTCTGCTGTGTGGCGGAGTTGCTAATGCTAACAGTTAGGTTAAACGAGCCAAGATGTCCGCTGTTGTTTTCTGGACGTTGAAACAACAACAGCCTTCCATGTCGTGAGTCAAGTTGGGTGAGTCCATGAATGTTGTGACGAAGATCTGATTTTCAAATCCTAGAGTTTAATCTTCTATTTTCTATCAGAAGCTAATTCAGGAGATAGGTGTAGGAGACTATTTTCATGTTCAGTCTGCTTGAAACTCAGTGTGACTGATTATAATCAGTGATAATAATTAAGAATGTTTTTTCAGTCAACCACATATTTAAATGATGTTTCTGCCTGAGGATGGGGTTTCTTACTCGTTTCACCCATACCCCATGGTTGTGTAATTGTTTGCAGTTTATGCAGATTATTTCTTCTCCTTTCCTAGTCCATCAGCTTTCTGAGCATGTGTTGTGTTCAGAAGCTGCAGGAGATAACAAATCAAAACTACTGGATTACCGGGGGACTAGTAAGGGTCAATAACACTGAAGCCCAGTCTCTGTAAGGTGGAACCTCTGTGTTCCTCTCAGGTAACTCCCACATGGCCATCGTTCAGAAGGTGAACAACGAGGGGGAAGGGGATCCTTTCTACGAGGTGCTGGGTCTGGTCACCTTAGAGGACGTCATCGAGGAGATCATCAAGTCAGAGATCCTGGACGAGTCTGACGGTTACCGTGAGTGTCACTGCTCAGATCTGTCGTAGCAGCTCACACGTTTGTCAAATTCTGAGTCTCGTCTCCTGCTTTTCCAGTAGACAGGAAGCTGAAACATCCCGTCACTCCTCTCGAGATCCCTCTTGAGCCTCGCAGCAGCCACGAGGAATTTTCTCTTTTCAAACCTCCAGAGGGAGAACCAAAGATCCACACATCACCACAGCTGCTGCTGGCCACGCACCGCTTTCTCTCCAGAGGTTTGTTTCTGGAGCTGTTCCTGCAGGATGAATCAGTTTCCTGAGTTACACACACCAGGACGTTAATGAAAGTTAGACGCATCATGTGTTTGCCACAAAACGAAGAGGAAAACTCAAGTTTAGTCATGAAATCTGTTAACACTCATGTTTTAAATACAGTCAACATAAGTAGATGGTTTATAGATTTCAAACTTCTAAATGATTTAATCTGAAAAATAAGTAAACTAGCAGGTTTTATTGCCAACTTCCTTCCAGACCTCTTGTAGGAATACACACCAACACTCTACCATACCATACCATACCATACCATACCATACCAATTTTATATGGTGCATTAAAAACAGTGTGGGAGCAGTGAGACAATGGATGGAGAACAAAAGGGGCCCCAGGACAGGTCCCAATCAGTCTTCCTGCTTCCAGCATCAGATCTGACTTTTCCTCTGTCTCCTGTAGAAGTGGAGCTCTTCAGCCCGGCTCGAGTGTCAGAGAAGGTTCTGTTCCACCTGCTCCGCCACCCCAGTGTCAACCAGGAGGTCCACTTTGATCACAACAACCGGCTCAGCTCCAGCCACTATCTGTACACCCGAAACCATCCGGTGGACTACTTCATCCTCCTGCTGCAGGTACCAGGACCCAGATGTGTTTTCATATCATCTTTTCTAGAGAAGGAAATTCAATGAATGTGTCATAAAAAAATCTCAGTTGAATGCAGGAAGACGGGATGGGTTATTTTGGATCAGCTCAGGTCTTTAGATCAAATTATTTAAGTAACAAATACATTAAATGAAAAACATAGTTTTCTTTTACTGTCTCAAGGAGAAAATCTTGAAAAGCTTTTGGTTTTAAAGTAATTGAGTTGTTCTTTTAAACAGGGTCGTGTGGAGGTGGAAATCGGTAAAGAAGGGCTGAAATTTGAGAATGGAGCATTCACGTACTACGGCGTGTCTGCTCTCACGTTACCATCATCAGGTGAGGTCACCAGGGAGGGGGCATTAGAAGAAACGGTTGTCTCAAATAAGGATGCTCCGATCCAATTGCGTGATTTTAAAGGGATTAGGATCGGGAGAAAAAATAATCACACTTAACCTTTTAAAACAACTAACGTGACATTTTTTAATTCATCCTGATATAGATATTATCAAATGGAATAATGTTGTGAAATTCCTTTTAGAGACTTAATAAAATAATGAGAAAGCAGTACATGATTCAATCAAAAGGGTTTAATTTCAATATTGCAATATCGAAATGAGGAAACAGTCACAGAGGCTCTTCCCAAAGCAGCCTCAGGAGTGAGTCCTGCTCAGCAGAGTTCCCCACACTCTATATATATCCCCCTAGAACCCCCCTCACCCAAAGGGAGAGAACAAAGGGCGGCCCTAGTGTTATCTGTTATCTGAGTCCTTACTCTGAGAGGCGCTATACAAGTGCGGGTCATTTGTCATTTATCATAACATCTGTCCTGTCAGAACCAGATCAGTTCCTGCAGTGAACCCTACTCCCTGGTTTAATGACAGCCTTCGCAGCCTGAAGCGCCAACGCAGAAAAATTGAGCACTTGTGGAAGAAAACCCATCTCCACGTCCATCTGCTGCACCTAAAGGATCTTCTGACATCCTTTAACTCTGCAGTCAGAGACGCAAGGGTTTCTTATTTCTCCAACCTGGTGTCCCAGAGCAAAGGGAACCCCAAGGTGCTGTTTAACACCATCAGCAGTATCGTGTCTCCTGCCTCTCCTACAGCCTCCATCCACTCTGTTGCAGACTGTGAGAACTTTCTGTCTTTCTTTGTGGACAAAGTCAATAAGGTTAGATCTAGCATCTCTCCTTCAGCCTTATCGCTGCCTCTCCCGACTCCAACCAGGCCCATCATCCTAGATAGCTTTGCTCCTGTTTCTTTGCCTTAGTTAACCAAGCTAGTTAACTCTATGAAGACCTCTGCATGCCCCCTCGACATCTTACCCTCATCTTTGTTTAAAAGTGCTTTTCAGTCCATCGGTCCCAGCGTGCTCTCTATAATTAATTCTTCTCTGGTCT